TCGACCTGCCTGCGGGGGCGGGGGGCGGGGAGATTTCTGCCTCTCTTCCTCTTGCCCCCCCCTTGCCCGCTCCCATCGCCAAGCACGGCTCTGTTGCCCCCTGCCCCCAGGCACCAGGGTTGCTGGCATGCTGGGTCTCCTTGCTGCGCCCACGCTACGGCCACCGATGTGTTGCTCCCCAGAGGGGTCTTTCTGCAGGTGCTGGGAGGACAGCGGCATGGCTAGCGCCCCAGCCTCCTGGCCCACCGTCCACGCCAATCCTGCAGAACGTCCCTCAGCTTCTGCCCCACTCACCTCCTGTGTTCCCTCCCCTGGAGAGATTCCAACGCCGCCCCACCGACGAGCAGCGCGCCCACAGCCGGCTGCCTGTGTTTCTCCTGGTGGTGCACATCCGCACGTGCCTTGGTGCACATAAAATTTATTCTGCGCAGGGGGTGGGAAAAGCGAGAGGGCACTTCGCCCGCCTCCTCCCCGGCTGGGCCTCTCTGCCTCCTCTTTATAAATAGTGCTGGTCTTTCTGTGCTACGTGCGGCTCCCCGTTACACATGGCGTGAAGCACCCGTCAGCCTTCGGGCTGCCCTGGGCCCCGACATGGGGGGGGCACCGCCGAAGCTGGAAGAGCCACGAGCTGTCTGCTCTTTCACCGCATCCCGCTGCAGTCTGGGGCCAGGTCTGGAGCACAGAGGCAACGGGGACGTTGTGTGGGGAGAGGTTTTTCGGAAATCCGACCAGACCCACACAAGGCGCTTGTGGGCCTCCCAAGCAGCAGGTCCCAGCAAACGAACTAAGGACTCTGAGCCCAGCCCCCTAGAATTGCGATGGCCTGGCCCTTTGCCCACAGGGGTCTTGAACCCAGAGGCCGCCAGCTGGAAAAGCCTGAAATGCTGCTGTGTGAGCTAACAGGCCGAGCCCCCCTGCTGGCAGCAGTCGTAGAGTCACCAATTTTCTGTAGACCAGCCACGGGGAGGCGCTGGCTGGGAACGTGTCCGCCAGAGGGGAGCAGACCTCTGCTGGGACCTGCTCGCTGTCCCTGGGGGGCAGGCAATTCCACACCCGCAGGTATCCCGGACCGTGCCTCGCAAGCATAGCCCCAGCGATCTATCAGCGCCATGTCCCCACTGCCCAGAGAAGGAGAGCAGGGCCTTGATTATCCTAAGAACGGCCACACTGGGTCAGACCAAAGGTTCATGTATCCCAGTGTCCTGTCTGCCGGCAGTGGCCAATGCCAGATGCCCCAGAGGGAGGGATCACAACAGGTAATCCTCTCATGATCCCTCCCCTCTCACTCGCCTCCAGAGAAACAGAGGCCATTCCTACCCATTCTGGCTAAGAGCCATTGATGGACGTAACCTCCATGAATCTATCTAGCTCTTTTTGAACCCTGTTAATGTTCTAGCCTTCACTGCATCCTCTGGCAAGGAGTTCCACAGGTTAACCGTGTGCTGAGTGACGAAAAACTTCCTTTTGTTTGTTTTAAACGATCAGGCAGTCACTAAGTTCACCCTTCAAGGGAGCAGGAAGTGTCAAGCGCTGGCGAGGGTGCCAGGCAGGGAGGCCTGGCTCTGGCGGGCCCAGCAGCGTTTTCATTCTCAGTGGCATTCGGGGTGCAGGAGCCTCTGGCTATGCAGTGTTTGCTGTGTGCCGTCACCGTATTGTGCTTGTAAAGCTGCGGCCAGGAAGTGCTAGGGACCGTGGCTGTTTTTCCACAAGCTTTGGATTTTCTCTCCGATTGCAAACTCCAGCCATGATACCCGACAAAACAAAAATCCACGCCTCCATTGGGACGTGGCTGGGCAGAGGTTGCTGCTGGCCCTGGGCAGGGCTGGCCTCTGGCGAAGACCATGGTTCCCACAGCTGCGGCATCCTCACGAGCTTCTACAAGCAGTGGTTTTGAGAGCTCATGCCAGCAAGGAGGACACACTTTGCAGGACCATGTGCCGTTGCTCATGGCAGTGTGGACTAGTGGTCAGTGCAGGCAGGGACTGGTAGGGGTGACAGTTAGCCTTCCTGAGGGACCAACAGAGGAGGGTGGGGGTCTAAACTTAGACTAAGGGCCTAAAAGGGTGTTACAAGGAGGAGGGAGAAAAACTGTTCTTCTGGGCATCTGTGGACAGGACAAGGAGCAATGGGCTTAAACTGCAGCAAGGGAGGTTTAGGTTGGACATTAGGAAAAGCTTCCTCACCATTCGGGCATGTCTACACTAGGAAATTATTTCAAAATAATTCAATTCCAACTAATAACTCCCAAAATAACATCGAACTAGCGTGTCCTCACTGCGGGGCAACCTCGAAATGAGTCCGAGGAGGCTCCGTTCTTGTGGGCGCGCTACCTCGACTTAGCGCTCCAGGAAGCCCTGGGGGAGTCATGACTTCAAATGACTCTGGGGAGTCGATATTTCAAAGTAGCAGCGGCGGCGCGTCCACACGGCTGCTATTCCGAAAGAAGCGGTATTCCCCGGGGAAAGCAGGAGCACAGATTTCCAAATAACCGGCCTGGGATTTCGAAATAACAGGCTTGGTCGGGTGGATGCTCCGCTTGTTATTTTGAAATAACTCCCTAGTGTCGACCAGGCCTTAGAGTGGCTAAGCCTGGAATGAGCTGCCTAGAGAGACTGTGGCATCTCCATCATTGGAGGTATTTAAGAGCAGGTTCGATTAGTATCTGTCAAGGATGATCTAGATCAGGGCTACTCAACACGCAGCCTATTTGTTTGCGACCTGCGGTGCGGTTCGGGTTTACTCACGGCTCAACAGGTGGGATCCTTTGGACAAGGCCTCCACTGGGAACGTGCTCCACCACGGCGAGGCGTCTCCCAGGCGGTGAGCATTGAAAGTCGCAAGCGGACGGGCCGGCTGAAACAGACGGGTACAGGGTGTCGGCGTTTCTAGTCCCCAGGGAGGAGGTGCCGGGAGCGCCATGGCTTTGTGTGAAAGAAGCTATTTGCATATATTTGCATATATATATATGTTCATGTATATGCAACCACACTTCAGTTGTGGCCCTTGGCATGCGCTGTATCATTGTGGCTTCCAAAGCTGAGTAGCCCTGAT